AAGCCCAGCTGTGGCTCACCCTGCGGGGGGTCTTCTCCCTCCTTCTCCGCCCGCCGCTCTCTCTCCAACAACAACATCCATCTCTATTTCCCTGCGAGCTGACCGCTCCGAGGCCGCTCTAAGAGCAATTAAAATTCCCCAGCTTTCCATTCTTGCCACATGCTTAACTGTACGGCGCGAGAGTGCCATATGCTCCAGGATGGGATTTTAGTGCAGTTTTTCGAGCCCAATAGCCTTCAACTTCGCGAAGGAACAAAGAGAGCGAACAGCTGGCTGCCTCTCCATGGCTGGATGGCGGCGAGTCAACCTGTTCAATCATATGCCGCGTTTGTTTACCTCAGCTCGTCTCCTTATTTGGTTTACTCACTGCGAACGCATACAGGCCTTTAGGTGTGAAACTTTAGAGCGGGTGGAAAATTTTCCTGCTCTGCAGAAAAGATGCAGAAAATAGAGCAGCTCCAAACGTTTTCTTAGTCGACCAAACGGCCTTTTTTTAACTGAAAGTCAACACGTTAGCCGATGTCCCCTCAAATAAAAACATAATAAATAAAAGTATGTGAGAATACTGAACTATAACACTAATCTGCACCTCATAAAAAAGCTTTTATTTTGCTGTGCATGTTACTGAAAACATTTTAGACTCTAAGTACCTCATGGACCTTGGGTGTCACTCATAAGCTCACTCACCCACTTTCAGCAGGTTTAAGATCCGCCACAAGGAGGTGCTATTAGCACTTAAGTAACTGCAGGTGCTTCATCAGAGTGGTGCTTAGAATCAGTGACACTGTGTATCCTTGTTATTATATATTTTAAGCAATACTGGAGTCAGTTTAGCATAGCAACAACATTTTTAGCATGGCAACATACTTACTTTAAATGGTACATCATCATAGTCTAAGTAAAATTTCACCTTCTTAGAATTATCTTCACAAATTGTGCCCACACAACTTTTTGGGTTGCATCCACGTGTTTTTCAGTAACTAACACATTTCATAACTGATGTATATTAGCAACACATGAAGTAAAACAACACTTTCTTGCTAAGCACATGGTCTAAATGTCCATTTGCAGAAATATATGCAGCTTTAACTATAATTTACTTGGAAAATGGCAAAAAAGTGAATATATAAATTAAGAAATTAACACAGTTTGTATTTCCTGAAGGAAATCTAGTGCATATAAGGCAAAAAAAAATACTCTGAGCAACAAGTCTAATGTAATAAAATAAGAAAGCGAGGAAGAAAGGATGAAAAAATGGAGGAAATGACGGAAGAGAGAAAAAACAAGGAAGGCAAAAAGAAAAGAAAGAAAGAAAGAAAGATGACATGAAAAAAGAAAGAAAGGAAGGGAAGAAGGAACATTGGAAGGAAGCGAAAAAAAGGAAAGAAGAAATAACTGAAAAAAATACTGAAATCAGTTGCTTTAAATGAAAGGATGGAGGAATGAAAAAAGATGTTAACAAAGAGTCAAAAGCTTTAAAAAGGCTAAACAGCAGAAAAGAGTGCAGTAGAAGTTCAGCCAATCAGCTTCAAGCGCATTTTGACATCATCGGCTGTGACAGCTGTAATCAAACTGTAACAAGAACCCTCCACCCAAATCTATGGGAAAATTATTTTGATCTAAAACATTTTCATTTAAAGTATAAACATTATCAAAATGAAAAACAGGCAGCAAACATCTGAAATTATCTACAAAACAGAGTTTAAATGGAGTCTGTTTGTAAAACAGCTTGAGTTGTATTAAGCGTGTTAGAAGAAAAAGAAGAAACAGAATAACAGTGATAAAAAGCATAAGAATATAAAATAATAATGCAGTGCTCTCCTTGCAATTAGTAAAATAAATGGAATTCAACTGACAATCTTAGTTAATCAAGAATGCTGTTACTAGTTGACAACACTGTTAAAAATAAAGGCTCCCAAATGGTTCTCTGAGTGGGACATACAGTTCCAGATAAAACACTATATAGAGCTTTTTCAAACTTTAAAAAAGGGGAAAGTGAGGTTAAGTGAACCAGCAATGGTTCTTCTATAGCATCCTAAGAACCTTTTTTGGTTCCTTTGTTTTAATAGCATGGATGACTTAAAGGGGGCAGCCCTCGCACTGTGGTAGTCCCTTCTAAAGCTGAGGGAAATGATGAGTACAAGATGCTGCACAAAGTCCAAAGTGGAAGCGTTCGCGGGTGTCCGCTCGACGTGGCTTTATGAGCTCGGGTGATGTGATAATTACAACTCTATTACACACCCCCAGCCTGTTATCTTTCACCTCCTCCCTCCTGCTGTCCAAAGCTTTCATCCTGCTTTCCCCCTGTCCTTAAGGACCATCCGGGGCTATCAAATGAGCTCGTTTTTCTCTGCGGGGCGCCACCGGATCAGATGTTTCTATTGGCAGCGGCGTAAAGGAAAGAGGGGGCCTACACGACACAGCTTGTAAAAAGCTTTCCGCGCGGCTCAGGTATCGCGCCCCGAGCCCAGGTCAGCACGACTCCGCTCTCCGAGCGGTCAGTCGCGCAGATGAGCCGGCGATAAAGCTCCCTGCAGCAGCAGGGTTAATGCAGAACGTATGCTGGGGCTTTCTCCACTATGGGAAACAACGGTTCCTGAAACTGTAGACGTGTTTACTTCTTGAGGACGTGGAAAGAGCTGGGCTTACTGTATTATGGGGAGAAGGTGCTTCGCGAGATTGGAGATGACGGTTGCATGTAAAGGAGTTCCTGTGTTACTAAGAGAATGTACAGGCCTAAAGCCACAGTCAGCAGCTCCACAACTGCAAATTGAAAGCAGTGATACAAAGTTTGCCCCCTAAAATCCCTACACAAACTTCTGAATGCAACAAACAACAAGAGGAAAGATAAAAAAGCAGATTTTCAAGCGTATATTGACATCGCTTGCAAACAGTGGAGCCAAATAAGGTGTAATAAGGTATAATAGGAGGAATTTATAGCTCATTGAGACAAACAGAGAAGCAGAAAAATTCAGATGAAAATGCAGATTCTAAACTTTCGACTCATAATATATTTTTTTGTAAGTAGATGAGGAAATATTTTATGATTTGAATTTGCCAAAAAGTTATTGTTGCTTCTAATTTTGTAGAAAAAACTAATGTTTACGTTTGCCATTGTTGTCACTTGCCATTGAAATAAACAGAAAAAACATGCTCTTATTAGACCAAACGCGTAAATAGAAAATATAAATTGTGTATGCATGTAATTCATTATTTAATTATGCAATAAACTGAAAATGAAACGCTGTCAGAACAAAACCTTGTATTTCCAAAAAAAGAAAAAAAGAAAAAGTACAGTAGAAGCCAAAAAAAATTCATTCAAAGAACTAAAATTCATTTCAAAAAGTCATTTAGCACCACTTCTGTTGGTCAATTCATCACCATTCACTCATTAAATTTGACACAATTAAATAAAAAAACTAAAAAAATGGAGATACAAAGTTTTGTTCTAACTGCATTTTCATTTATGTACAGTACTGTGGAAATATCTAATTATATCAGCAATATCACAGCAAACACTCCAGACTTCGAAGGCTTAACTATCTCAAAGTCATTACAATCTAATGCCCCATATATCTGATGCAATCAATTTCAAAATTTCTGCACTATGTGTCTACAAGGCTCATATTGCAGCCCACTCAAAACTTTAACTACTGACACTTAGATGGAATCATGTTTATCGCAGGTTCAGTCTAATTGGAGCATGTTTAACAGGCAGCATACGCCCACTTACAGGTAAACACTGGGTAAACTATGCTGCTCATGAGTAACACTGAAATCCGGTTTAGGAAAACAACTCTGCTGTTGGTAACACTGGTAAAAGATAAACACATGCAAGCATAAATGTCCAACTAATTTGTTCTACTGCTGTTCTTCAGTATTGAGGTCCATTTCTTTCCCACATGCATTATAACAATCCTATCTTTGCCAGTATAAACCGTGGGTTGCAACCTGATCACATAATAAATATGAGATAAATCAGAGACGTCAGAATTTCCACCCACTCACAGCTATTAAGACTGATCACTTAATGTCTCATGAACCCAGTGGCTGAGTTCGAACAATAGGAAGTTGACAGGCAGGCCTGCTTACTGAATGGTACACTGTGAATGCCTAAGGTTGTTTAGCTGATTATTAATGAACTACTCCATTATGTCAACCTCTCACTCTGCCAGGTTTCAATGTAAAACAGATTTAGCCAGAGGAAAACCCACAGAGCCAAACATATCTGCCAAATCCGCCCCCCCATCCACCTATCAACATCCAAACAGAAGTAAATAGGTGCATGGGTGAACTTCTGTGATAATAAGAAAAAACGAAAAATCATGACTTCTTGTGGCCAATGTCAACACCAATAACTATACAATAAATACACTTTTTTGCATGTTTTAATTTAACACTATAATCTATATATGAAGAGCATAAATAGGTTCAAACTCTGAACATGCTAATTGACAATGCTAGCTGCCTTGTATTCCTCAGCCTGCATTGATCACTGCAATAATGAAATTTTACTAATGATATTAGTGGTTGAACATTTTCACTGCTAAAAAAAACACACACGAAAAATGGCTCCCCATTGCCTCTTTAACTCAGAAGCATCAGAGAGTGACCACACACGTTTCACTGCATGCACAAGCAAAGTTATTAAGTTAATAAGCAGAGTTATTGGTTGTAATTACAGTCTATAATTCCAAAAACAGGTCGACATTAATAGAGGTATAAATCTCTGAGTTCTAAACAATTTGATTCAGTAGCAATTCTTTAGAAATCTCACTGTTTGATCCGATTTGATTCGTTTTGGTTGATATGTAAGTCTTTTTTAAAAACAATTTTAAAATGTTTGAAAATAGCCTGAAAATTTTACCCTGGCCAAAACAAGAAAAGATCTGATGAATATTATAAGTGATTCTATTCTGGAACATAGATCGATGTGTCGATGCATAATATATTGGCTGCTGACACATCATGCATCTCTAATTAGGTGAATTACTACTCACCTCCCCTGACTGAGGCAGTGTCAGCTTGGGAAGTTTGCCCTTGCTCCCCGTCGTGCTGCCTTTGCCATCTAGCAGGCCTCCGAAGGACGCTCCGCTGTAGCCATCACCCATCTCCAGAGGGGGCTTGAGCTCAGGAGAGTCGTTGGGTACCTGGTCCTGGCCATCCATGGGTCGTACGTAGGCCGTGGGCTTTTGCTGTACTGCACTGCTGGGCTTGCAATGCAGGCCCTGGGGGAAGGTGGGAGTGGAGAGGCCGCCGGGGAGCAGCGAGGTGGAGGCCACGGGCGAGCCAGATCCGTGGATGCCCAGGTCCTGCTCAGCGGGGGACTTGCTGTGCCCCAGCTCGGTGGGTGCTGGCACTTTGGCCGTCTGCCCGTGTCTCCTGCTGGAATGGGACGAAGTGGAGGCTGTGCTGGGGCTGGAGTCACCCTGCTCCTGCTCATGGGCTGAGTGCTTGGCCCCTCGACTGGCTGCCTGACTTGTCTGGGAAGCGTGAGACCCTCTGGACCAGTCGGAGGCACGGGACTTTTTGCCACCCTGGTGCCCGTGGAGGACGTTTGGGCCAGCAAGGGTGGTAGTGGTGGGTGGTGGGGGCATGGAGGTGGTATGACTCCCAGGCTGGGATGGGGCCCTACCTCGCTGGGCTTCAGAGAAGAAGCTGGGTTGGTCCGTCTTCTCCACCGGGGTTTGTGGCACTGAGTTCTTAGGGATGCCCACGAGGTGGCTCTGGTTGGAATGGCTGGTCAAGAGCTCCTTCATCTCGTCATAGTTGCCCAACGTGTTCTGGACGCGGTTTGCCAGGGCGTCGCCTTTGTTTGTCTGTAATGACAGAGGAGACAGAGTAAGATGTTGTCATATTCCCCTGACCATTCATTACTATCAGCCTAACCACTGCCTGTTTTAAACCATGGTCTAGTTCACTTCTCTGTACAGTGCCAGGGCAACTCTTTATTCTACTCTACAACAGTAACATTCCCAACGTTTCGATTTTCAGAGAGTCAGCCACGAGCACTGTACGTAGGCACATGTAGGTGTATGTGCAAGTTGTTTGAAAAAGAGAAAGAATGAAAGAGAGAAAATGTGGGCAAGTACTCGTGTGTGGGCGAATGACAAGAGGAAAATGTTCATAAACACTCACTGCATGGGTGCAGAGTTGAGGCTAGATTCATTCTTTTGAGAGCACATAATGAATGATCAGCTTCTAGATGATTGAGAAAATAACATACTGCTCTTACAGACCTAAATTACGAGCCTTAATTCAATTAATGCAAGAGCAGTACTGAGTGTGTGGTACAGCCTACTTTATAAAATCAAAGCACATTATCAAAGTACATGTAGCCTGCAGGAAGGGTGAAGACTCTGAATTGCTCTGAAATTGTGCGGTCTGCAGGTTTGTATCAGGATTAGAAGGTGTAATCCCAGAAATGGTGACACCTGAACAGTTCACTTTTAACAGATGGGTGTTTATGGCTTAGCTAGGGGGACCAATAACACAGAATATAAACCTGGCTCAAATTTAAAAAAGGAAAGCAATAAGAAATTAGGGATAGTAACTGGGGATTATTAATCATTGTTACTATATATTGTCATAGAGTGTGACTCTATTGTCAAATAGTATGACTCATAGGGTTGTCAAAGGGTGCGACTTCAGTCAAAACATGCTGGTTTTGAAATGAAACAGTCAGATTGGTCTAGCAAAATTGGACTTAGACACAAAATCAAGTAGCAAATCTTTAACCCCTTAAAATCCCAGGCTTATTCCATACTAAGCCTCATTATTCAGTAACTACAGGGACTTTATTGCAAACTGGCTGAGCTATTCTTAGGTTATAGAAGTGTATAATAAAACTTTGGGGCCCTGGCCATTTAAGGGGTTAACTGGAGTAAGCTTGATACTGATCTGAGTGAGCCGAAATATCAGCTACCATGTTTATATCCAGCCATGTTGGAACCTCACAGGCATAATTTACAGTCCCCCAGAAATTTCTGCTCGCTTTTATTCAGCTTCTGTTGGTTCCACGAGTCCCTTGTTATAATAATTGTTTTCTTTTTTAGCTGTGCGGTGCATGATTAGCTTATACAGCTACTCTCTAAAGAGAACCATGCAAATGCACCCCCCACTGACTATTTCCATAATAAGCAACATTCTACTTAATGCTCAAGCCCTTTTGCTATTGTGTTCGTTTTCGGCTGCATTTATGTCTTCGCTTTCATTCGAGCGATTCCAAGTACCTGTGCAATAACAATCCAATTCAGCCCAGCGCGCATAACATCAATTACGCCAGGCCGCAACACCACTGCTTTTTGGAGAGCGTATGAGTAAACGTACTTGAAGAACAAACGAGGTGGTGGCACGTGTGTGTGTGTGTGTGTGTTGCCCTCTGCTTGCAATACAATTAAAGGGTCCGTTATTCCCGAGCAGCGAAAAGTATCGAGATAAATCTATTAGCTTTTGCCATTCATTTCACATGTAATTGCCACATTAATAATGCCGCCGCTACCTCTGAAATGCAAATGCGGCTGCGGCGGCTTCCGACAAACATAACGAGTCGATAAACAAATAATGGTAAATGATCCGGGAGCAGGAGCGAGTGTGCAGGGCCATTATTGCGGGGAGGGAATTATCTGCTGGGCAGTTAACATCTGACCCCGCACACACAAAGGAGGACGCCAAGACCAGATCCACTCAACTTAGCCCCTTGCCTAACCTCTGAACCAGCAAAGCCGCAGACTTAATGTGGGTCATAAAGCCATAACTACAGAGTAGCCGTCGTTCCGAGATTTATTATAATTAGAGTCACTATAAAGGTTTTTATAGCGGGCATGAAAAATGTGATAATGGGCGATAATGAACGGTAACAAATTCTCTAAAGCGTTTTACACTGACTTGGTAAAAATAAATAAGAAAATTGTATTTTTGTTAAAAAAGTTAATGCGATAATGTGTAAGGGTAAATACTAACTAAATGATTCTTAATTTGTTTTGGCTTGAACTCTATATTCTTACAAATATCCTCCTTTAGCCTGACATTCTTTCATGGATGTTTCACCAGGTATTGGCACAGAATCAGATTAAGAGTTTTATTAGCCAATTACACCACCATTCAAACTTTTGCTCATAGCCACTTATAGAAGGGCCCCTTATTTATTTATTTTTTTGCTATGTTCTACATTTTAAAATAGTAGTGAAGACATCAGAACTAAGAAATCCTATAATTTTGATTATTTTTTAGAAATAAGCCCCACTTTGCCTTGATATAGTTTTGAAAACTCTTGCCATTTCCTCAAGCAGCTTCATGAAGAGCCACCTGGGATTCCAGCAGGACTGAAGAAGAAACACATATGTTGAGACTTTGCCGCTGCTGTATACCATATGTTAGGGGGCAATTTAAATAAAGTATATATACACTACTGTATAAAAGTCAAAGACCAAACTTCTTTAATTTAACTTCTAGTAAAAATAAATGTTTATGCAGAGATGTCATATAATATAGTCCATTTGCATCAGGAAGGGGAAATTCAAAAGAAAATAGGCGTAAAAAATAAGAGTTTCCAAAACTGGAGTTATTAAAAGAAATACTGAAAAAAGGTCTCCTAACAAGCACCTGTGAGACCTGGTAGACCACCAAAACTGTCCCCATCAGATAAACAGCATAAGATTTCATGTTTGAGAAACAGGAGACAATCAAGCTCCACTGTGAGAAGACAACTCAACGCTATGGGTCTGAAAGGATGTGTAGCTGCAAAGAAGCCTCACTGAGAAAAAGAACATTTGCAAACCAAACAAAGAAGCTGCTCAACAACAGACTGACCACCCCAGAGTCCAGACCTCAACATGAAAAATGTGTTTGGGATGACTTGGATCGTGAGAAGCAGAGAATGCAACCAAATTCCAAGACTGAAATTTGGAGGTATGGAAAAATATCCCTGCAGCTTTCTTTAAAAAAACTGTCTCACGAAAAGAATGAAAACAGTAAGAAAGACAATGTGGATGCCCTAAATGGTGAAAATTGTGATATTATATTTAGTTGTTGAGGTTTTGTGGAATTTCTGTTAAATTAATGTTTTCTACCTTTTTTCCTGATTTTGAAAAATTAATAAAACCCCTGTTTCGATAGGAAATCAAAACCTTGGACTATTGCACAGTATTGTATATATTTATTTTTATTATTGTTGTTTTTGAAAGAATTCTGTACATAAGCACCAGCATCAACTTTTAAATTTAAGCACGGATCTTTAGTCCAAAAGGTTTTTATTATTATGAAAAATGCATATTCAGGTGTGTCCAAACCTCTGCCTGGTACTGTACCAAGGAATTTTTTCTAGTGCTCAAGGGAAGACCGAAAATATCATATGAAATGTAATAAAAAAAACTACTAAAACATTTATGCACAACATAAAGATTTTACAGGTTCAGGTGGAACAGACAGCAGGAAATGATTTAAGTAGCAATCATACAAAATATAAAATATTAGCATAACAGTTATTAGGTATGCGCATAATTACGTATGCACTCCTGAGCACAGTACATAGTGTTGTGTGTATTGCGAGCAACAGATAGAAGAGTTTATTTAAAACGTCCATATAGGTTTGTCTGGTTTGGCCTGACTTCCAATTTAATATGACCGTGTTGCTGGTATGCAGCTAGTATAGCATTCTGAGCTTTAGAAGTTCATCTAGAAGTCATTTTTTAAATGGAGGAACGTTCTTCTCTCACTGAGCGATCAAGTTCATTCTACCTGATAATGGATTGTGACTGTGCAGGTTAGACCATTTTCCCAAAGTTTTGTCTGAGCTGAACATCAACAAACATGTTTCTAGTTGTGCAAAACCGACTAAATCCCACACTTTTGCCTTTAGTGCTCTCCTAAGGTGACTCCTGGCATACAGTCCCGATGTAGCACACGGACCAGCGTAACAGTCTTCCTCTGATAGCTATCTCTGTACCAGTACAGCCATGGACGTGATGGCCCGCATGAAAACAAGAGCGCATGCACCCCTCCCCCTGCAACCACCATGCATTCGTTAGCCTCCTCACGCCACGACTGACGTAACATAACCCCCCTCAGGCGGTTCTCAGAGCTTGGACGGGTACCCGGGTCAATGTGGCTCCGGTCCAGTACTTTCAGAGCGAGCGACTCCGAGGAAAGGGGGGAAGTCTCGGATGTAGCGAGGGTGAGTGAGTGCTGGGGTGAAGTTCCCAGACACTAGGGCTCAAGAGACGCGAGAGAAAGCCCATCTGGAGAGCGCACAAAGGCCTCTTGTGTGAACTCCAACCAGGGGCAGGAGAAATGTTGGAGCCGGGCCAAGCCCACATTTCTGCTGGCCAACTCCAGCTAGGGCAAGGTGAGAGCTGCAGAAAGGCTTGTGCTTGAAGCATTAATTGCTGACACATTACATTGAAGGTAAAAAAAAAAAGAAAGCCCCTTGCGAATAGATAATCGCATTCTTAATAGTGTGGGTAAATCTCTTTGAGCATTAGTGAGGGCAAACAGACACTCTGAAATTGCATCTCTTACTCCAGAAGGTTTGGGGACTAGTGTGGTACTAAATTTAAGACAAATTTAATTTAGTCCGGAGAATAACTCTTAAATTTTTCTGTCTTCCACTTTGCCTTACAGGATTGATCAGACTCATCTAAAAGAATAATGAGGTTATTTGAAAGACATGATGTTTCCTGATTGAAGAGGACTTCTTGTTTTTGTAAAGCTACAATAGAAGTCATTACTATGACACTAATCAATTTAGTGTTAAAAAATGTACAGTAATGCTATATGTATACAACATAGAACACTGATAACATGAGCAGTTTATAAAGGC